CAGGGTCTTTGAGCATCTGTGACCCCAAGAGTGGTGAGTCTCATCGGGCTCAGCACCTGCCGGGTGATCTCATTAAGGAATGCAGAGAACTTCATTTTTTCTTTCATCAAATTCTTCTTGGCTTCACTTTTCCTCCTTTCTTGTTCCTTTGCATCTTCATTCCCATGTCCTTCTCTTTCTTTGGGTCTAGTCAGAGCCTCCATTGATTTGGATTTGCGAAAACTTCCATCATTTCGGGAGCCTCTTGCAATCTTTTGTGTGTTCTTATGGGAGCTCTGGGTGGGGCTACTGTGAGAGGACTTGCCTTTCTCCCGTTTCTGTTTGGCAGAGAGTCTGTTTACATGACCTCTTTTATCTATCAGAGGGGCTGTGTCGTCTCCTTCCTCAAAGTACCTGCGTTTACCAGAAATGTCAGTACAGGACTGTGAATGCTGAGGCTTCCTAAGTGGATGTCTATCCAAACACTCACTGCTTGTCTCAGAGGACAGGCTGGAGGAAGACGTTGAAGAGGAGGAAGAGGAGGAGAAGGAAGAGGATGAGGAAGAGGAGGAGGAGGAAGGGGAGGAGGAGGACGTTGATGAAGAGGAAGAAGAAGAGGAGGACGAGGAGGAACCGGTTGGGGAACTGAAGGAGGTTTCTGAAAGAGAAACATGGCGATGATTTTGCTTGTGATGGTGGTGAGAGTGAGGATGATGAATCTTGTCATTATCACATGGGCGTCGATGGTCCGGGTGATGGTCACTGAAAATACTGTCCTCTGCTGTTGAGTGGCTGCTATCAAAAGAATACATGGGCATTAAAGTCACACTGGAACATAAATACTGAATGTTCACATCTCTTGGTCTATTTAAAAATGAAACACAGATTTTATGAATGAATTACAGGCATGTCATGTTGCTCAAAGAAAGGCCAGACTTACTCTTGGCTGTCATTGCCATCTGGCTGATGTAACTTTTGCTGGTAGTGCTGATGACGGTGGCCTTGGTTTTGGTGATGGTGCTTCATTTGTTGAGATTTGGAGTTTGCCACCTTTCCACGCTTGTGGTCTTTTTCTTGATGGTCACACATTTCAGAATTATGACCTTTTCCAGCTCCGTTGTTGTGGTGGAAATGTTTCTCCGTCGGCTGAGAGCTGCCCTCAGAAACTGGCACAATATTGATCCCTGGAGAAATATTGTACTTCTTTACTACTTTGTTACATAATTCACTCTGCTATGGCCATTTTTCTCTTTCTCTATCCATTTACAACACTTCCACAGAAATAGAAACATGGAAATATTTAAATTTGAATGCGTACTATTATGGTTGTAAATTAGAGAAAAACATAGTGATGATGAAAATGTCGTTACATGTCGTTACATTATATGATTGATAATTACTTCTTCATAAAGCTATACTGGTTTACTACAGCAGTGACATGGTTGCTGGTCACTTTAACGTGCATAATTTCTGATTTGTACTAAAGTATGACTAAAAAATGTAAATTTTTGCAAAACATACTTAATGAAGTGCTACATGCAGTAAAAAGGCAAATATTCCAAAGCAGTCCCATGCAGACATGCAGCTTTGTAAATTACAAACACACTAAGACACATTGAATAATGAAAGAAGTTTCAGAGACGTTATCTCAGATATTTGTCTTTAACTTATCTACCATACAGTGAACATCTGTACTTACGTTGTCAGAGAAGCCTCAGGAAGGACACAGGCGATCTGTTCATTGATGCTTTGTATCAGAAACACAGCGATTCTCTGTCTGCGATGCAACTTGTAATTGAAGTGTGAAGCACATGTGAAACACTCACAGTCACACATCAATATATACTCCTGTGCCGTCCAATGACAGCGGGGCCAGCTGTTACACGCAACTACTTTGAACTGTATTAAACTCTAGTGCATACTGCTGTGTATATGATGGCTAATGCATTTATTTTAAAGATACCAACATGGATTAGTAACATACTGTACTGTGCATTTATAAAATCAAAACTACAAACTGATGGTCAGTGCATATTGTACATTTGTATGATATATTCTTCCTGAGTCTTGCTTGTTGCACATAATTAATTAATTAATTATAATTAAATAATTTTAAATTGTTCTTTTCTGGGATCTTCGGACAATGCTACAAGGATTACAGACATTTTATGGTTTGTTTGCAAATTATGTTTAATATCTATGATCTGAGTCACTGTACCAAAGTGTCAGGTAAACTCTATATAACTGGGATGGTAGTGTGTGTGTGTGTGTGTGTATGTGTGTGTGTGTGTGTGTGTGTGTGTGTGTGTGTGTGTGTGTGTGTGTGTGTGTGTGTGTGTGTGTGTGTGTGTGTGTGTAATATCTTCTTGTTATTACTTATGTTTTTAGAATATTCACAAAACAACTTCCCACATGTCAGAATGAGTCACTGCTTGTTTTGTTAATGTGAAAATATTCCTGTGATGATGCTGAGCTTAAAACTGCTTTAAACTTGAAGTAAAAAGGTACAAAAAACGAATCACTCCGGATGTGAAGAGTTCAACTCAAAGGTTATTTTTCCACCTGCGATTGTCATGAGATCAGAGACGAGCTGTGCTGCTTACAGTACGCATGTTAACTACAAAGTGGCAGGTTATTGATCAGGATGTCCCTATTATGTCAGGCCAATGGGCAATCTCATAACTCAGAGTCACTGACAAATAATTGAACTCCAATAGAGTGACAAAGGCAATTACACACCATGAAACATCACAATGTTATATTAAACCACTCATGGCGGAAACCATTTTATATTCCAGGAGACGCATCAGATGATACAAACCACAGCTCTGTGTTGTACAAGTGCAGCATCTGTCAGCCTCATTGTAATCTGGCATCATGTATGATCTTCATGGCCGCCGGCAGCTTTCCCTGCATCAATGTTGCATGGCTCAGATCCACTGACAATCAATGGCAAACCTACGCCGCTGCGACTGTTTGCCAGACACAATGGAAAGTTAGAGGTGGCAACGGACAGTCACATGCAAACGCGTGACGTATTGGTGAATATTTATAATAGCCTGCAGATATCTACACTTGAAATACGAGGATTCTCAAGGACAGCGTGTGACAGAGTTACATCACACAAGATCAAGATCATCATGGGCCCAATAATGAATGCAGCAGCGTCTGTGCCAGAGCGCTGCCGCACTGTCATTGGTGTGGAATTACATACTAATGAATGCATTTTCCACATGCAGCTAGTTGTTACAGCTTTCGGTAAAATGACTTAAAATTAGTGAGGAGGAAATACAATGGAAGCCTATAGGGACTATATTCAATATATATATTCATAGGATATTGTAATTCCACAATAGCATCATAATTCTCCACATACAGTATGTATGTGATATTACAATTAAAATGCATTTTCATTTTCATTCTCACATACTTGTATGAGGATTCTCGGACCATATTAAAATGAAAATGGAAAAGCTGTTTGACATTTCATTTTCAAAGTCATACCCCGCTGCACAGTGGACAATATTCAAATGTTAATTCAAAAACTAAAATGCAGTTTTCTAACAATTTGAAAATGAGAAAAGCATTAGACAACTAAAGCCTTAACCTGCTACAATGGAAAATATTTAAATGCAATATGCAAAACATCGATCGCATTTTCATTTATATGGCACCACGCTCTCTTGGGGTCAAAATAAAAATGAAAATGCAATTTTATAACAATCCGGAAATGAAAATGGCATTTGACATTTTATTTTCAAAGTCTCGAGCTGCCCTACAGTGACAATATTCAAATGCAATGTGCAGAAAAACGGCCCCAGTCTGTTACATTTTCATTTACATGTACTTGTTACCATCATCTCTGTCAGGTGATTGAACATTTGCCAGTGTCAGAGCTGAACAATCCAGAGTCTCTTAACGTCACTCACTGAGTCTTTGACCAACTGAATGTTTTTGGTGACTCTCCGGCCACTTGCAAAAGTATAAACAGAATATCAGGATGTTACGTTGTAAAGAAAAGATTTATGAACAGATCAACACGCAGCCATCCCCTGCTGTAGTGCATCACACATGCAGTGTAGAAGCACAAACACATACACTGCCAAAAAAAGGAAGGAGCTAGAAATAGATATAATAATATAATAGAAAAAGTAAAGTTTTCTTAGTGGATTTGAATTTAAATTGTAAACTGACTGAAGTATTGTTAGGGTTTAAGGTTGGATAATGCTATCAATTCATTGATCTGCAGGTTTTAAATGCCAGTTGCCCAGTGTCACAAACAACAATAATTTGGTGTTACAGAAAGGAGGCAGAAAACACAAAGCAAAAGAGAGAAAAACGTTTCAACTGACTCTAAATAACAACACAAACAAAACATCTAAAATTCATCCACATGAAAGCCTGGAGAACTAACTGGATATTATGTAACAAGACAATATTTCTAATAGGCTCCTAAGTTGGGTCTTAATTTTGAGCCACAACTCCTGAACAAAATATCTTATACCAGAGTACAGTATACAGTTATTGTTCAAACTGAAACCACTGACATCAATGTCATTCACATAAATAATAAATTAGTTTTGAAAAACAAGTGTATAGAGCACTGCAGTGTAGAGTCTCACTGTGGACTGCAGCCTTTCAAAGCCACTGATGTAGGAGAGATGTTTCTGTAAACAGCCTGTCCACTGACCTGACCCTGGTCTCTGTCCCTGCCCTGAACTCACAGACTCTCACAGGACCTCACGGAAGGCGTCCTGAGCTGGATTCACCACCAGGGGGAGCGATACGCAACATATTTGTGGCGCCACTGCAGGGCACCAGTGACGCCTCTCATTGGGTTTTCTGTAAGGAGCTGGTCTGACTGTCTGAGTTCAAGTTCAGAGTGTGGAGACACAAGGTGGAGAATCTAGTGTCCACCTTCTCCTTTTTAGAGTTCATTCTTCTATTTACTATAAGGTTGTTTATATCAGGGATACAACAATGTGACATTATGCACAACTTTCAATGAACTTTTAATAACTTTTTTTTTCTGCATATAGGAATGCAATTTCACAAAACAAACAAGAAGTTGACAACAAATGAATGATTATAAAGCAGAACCCATCCCATGAAGATGAAGCATGTTTTTCTTATTCACAATGTTAACACAGACTTTTATTATGGAGACAGAAATCTTCATAGTGTCTTTTCACAGTGAAACACTGTTTGAGAGAGTAAATGAGTGTTTACTTGCTGTAACTCTTCTTGGCCTTTTTGTGTGATTTTGAAAAATTATTCATGAATGTTCTCACTTGAGTGCAACAATTTACTGTGATAGCATCCAAATGCTGCTGACAACCAGCAGCTGCTTTATCAGAAACAGGCAACAGAATTTGTCTGAGTAAGGGTTAGACGACATTTTAGAAATCCTTCACTCTTAATTTTGCCTGTACACCGCATTAGATGATGGTAACTATCTATGGACTTTAAAAAATATTAAAATACTGAAATTCTGTAGTATTCCCATTTAATAGACAGTCAAAAACATCAGGGAAATGTACATACAGTATATATGGCAAATCTAAAAGCAATGCACTCAATTTCAGAAATAATGCACACCCATAAATAGTTATGTATTAATCACGTGTGGGGTATTTGATTCCAGTTGTGAAGGCCACCTCTGGCCGCTCAGTTCAAATCAGCTTGTGGAATCAGGTTCTGACTGTGTAAGTGTTACTGAGCGTTTCCTTGCTGATCATATACATTCTGACATTCTACCAGCAAAAGATGTTCTTTCAACATCAACAGTGTATATTTAGTTTCTACTGAACTTAAAAAAAAATTAACTTAAAAAGATCACTGACAAGTGTTAGCTGGAATTGGAAATATAAATATTGCCCCTCTTTGTCAATAGCTATTCAAAGCAACATGAACTGGATCCTTTGTCTCTACGCTTCAGGCCTTGGTCACCACTGGAGTTTTCAGGTTGCTCTGCTTGGATCACAGGAAACCTCCTGAATGTTGTGAGATATTTTCAGTGTCTGGCATGTTTCTAATGCCTGATGTAAACGAATGGAGCCAGGGACTGCCTCCACTCTCTTTTCCATTCAAGTTGGGCAAAGCTCTCTCTATTGGGCTAACCGAGTATTAGAAAGTCCCACTTCAGCTCGTTCTACACAAGCCTATGTTGTGTAACACAGAAGGAAAAGAAGGAATCAATGCTTGTTATCAGTTTTTCCCCACACGAATGTTGGGGTTAAGAAGAGGATCTAAATTTGGGTCTGAGCCAGCCGAGGCACGTCCAAGTTTAGCCATGATGATTATCAACGTAAAGAATCCAAGAACTCCGACCAGAAGAAGCATGAAGACCCGCTGTTTCCAGGACAGGGAAGTCCGTTTTCCACCCGTGCGGTTCCTGAAAAGATGAATAAATGAAAAATAAATAAAAATCAGAGCTCACAAAACCATGTCACTGCGATTTATTCAGAGTGTCAAAGCAATAAAAGAGCTCAAATTCATAATACTAACTTGAGAATTCGAGCAAACCAACTTAACGCTGGTCGCCGCCGGTACTTGTCGTCATCAAAGTCGATCTGTGTGACAGAGCTGTGACCAACGTCCCGTGTGTCGTAGAGTTTTCTTGGGGAAGACGCTGGAGAATAACAACAAACAATCTTATTTCTCTTTCAACAAAGTTGGCAAAACTTCAGTGTTCGCACTTCAGTGTGTGATAAAACTGACGTAGAATTTTCTTCTGAATGTTTGAGGAAATAGAAAGCTGTAGAGAGTGGACTCAGAGGGCGTGTCATTGCTTCACCTGAGTGTATTGTGATTGTGTCACTGGTGGTGGCAGTAGTGAAGTTGATCACAGCGTGCTCCTGCATATTTGGATCCCCATTTTTACGAAGACCTCCAAGGTCTTCCTGTGCTGGGGGTGAGATGGAGTTTGGTGGAGGGGTGAGGCTGGTGTTGTAAGAGTGGCTGGGGTAAATGTTACTTTGTTCTTGTGCTGTGGAAACAAACAAGACCAGGTAAAAACCTAGTATCTGTCTGGACCGCCTATAGTCATATCCTGATTTTATAACTGCGACATGGTCGTCTGACAGAATCAACTAACACATTAATGAACAACAAAGACTGAGCTGTGATTTCAGGATTTACTGTAACATGGTCACTAAGAGAGAAGTTTAGAAGAGACAGATTATCTTTGTTTTTTTAAAGTTACTTTTTCAGGCTTTTGTCTTTAATACAGTCATAGTGAGAGAGAGAGAGAGAGAGAGAGAGAGAGAGAGAGAGAGAGAGAGCAAGAGAGAAGAGAGAAGAGAGAGAGAGAAAGAGAGAGAGCGAGAGAGAGAGAGAAGAGACAGAGAGAGAGAGCGAGAGAGACGCAGCAAATGGTGACAGACAGGACTTGAACCCGGGCCGCCAGGGAAAGGACTAAACCCAAATGTGACGCACTCCACCAGATGAAGAACAGACTATCTCTCTCACAGAGCAACAGCCTCCGTCTGGATCCACAATACTTTAGTCTTTATTTACTTCAACTCCAGAACTTTCACAGAACGTTTATTAGAGGCAGGTCTTCATGTCTAACTCTCTCTCTCTGTTTTAGACGTAGAGTTGGTCATAGTGTTTTAGTACGAAAGCCTCGTTACGGATGACTTCTCTCCCTCTTCTCCTCCTCCCTTTCCCTCTCCCTCCCTCCCTCCCTCCCTCCCTCTCCCTCTCCCTCTCTCCTGCTCGCTCTGCCCAGTGTGTGTTATCTTTAGTTATTCCTCTGCCTACTTTACTAATAACAATACATGTAATGAAAGTACTTTATGTGCTGTAATGGAGGCAAGGCTCAGTGTATTGGAAGCACTCCTCCTCTCCACATTCATGATTATAGGGTAGGCCCTACTGCTGCCGTCCAGCAGAAGAAGAGAGTTTCATTATCTGATCATGTTGCACAATGTTGACTTTCACCATAAACTGAACCTCTTAAATAATCCCATGTGATCAGCTACAAAACAGACCTGATAGAAATGCACATGTTGAAAAAAGTAAACATTAGGGCTCACCATCAAATGTTGACCAGTCAGTATAATCAGTGACATCATTAGCTGTGGTCTCCTCGAGGACCCCGATGGGCTCTTCAATCTGTCACATCACATTTTAATCATGTTAGAAACATTACCTCTGAGCACTGCTGTTTAAATACAAGCAGAGAGAGCACAGCTCTGAATGTGTGCTTTGTTTTCAGGAAGACCGATTTAACTATAATAGGTCCTTACCAGCGGCAGCCCTAAACCAGCTCTAGCCCAGTTAACAGATGACAGCTGTTCTTTCAGCACATCGGCAATTGGGCTGGCCAGATTGGAGGGGGGAAACACTGGACCCTGACAGGTGGGACACTGGTATCCAGCTGGAGCCGTGTGGAGGGGGAGCCGAGATGCCAGGTTATTAAGACAGGCCCAGTGGAAGACATCTGTGGATGGCAGAGACAGTTCAACGTCACGGCAACAGGGATGGGATTTCACTGTGTTTGTTGTTGGTTCAGTTGAACTGCTCGTTTAAACATCAGAGGATCTGCTGGACACAGGGGACCATGTATTCCCATGAGTTTATAATAAACAGGAACTTGATAATCTTACCGTAGCAGACAAGTCTGACAGTGTCTTGAGCAGTCAGGGGAATATTACACAGAGCACAGTTGGGGTTGTAGTCACTGTCCTGCAGCCACTGCAGATACGACTGTACGATACACTGAAGGGCAGCAGGTGAAAACACAAGAGTTTTATTGTGAACACATTATGTTACAAATTTTACACAATTACACATCATGTGACGCTTGTTCACCCACTGACCTTGTTGTGGTTGGAGACGAGGCAATGCTCGCACACATTGACACGATGTTCGAAGCAGAATAAATTGGTCACCTTTCTCTTCGGGCACTTGCAGAGACCCATATCCACCTGTGCTGTTTGGATGACAAACAAACAACTGCAGGTTTGTGTTGGATGCATACGACAAGATGATTTTATACATAACAGACTGGCCTCCTGTTTAGTAGCAAGAATAATGTGTCTTCAGTGCTAGCAAAAACATGACATTAAAAGTTTTTTACTTAATCAATTTATCTTGAGGCTAATCTTCTCTTGACTAAAGACTTTCCCTTTTTCCTGACGACCTGAACTTTCCCCAGACACACTGCTGTGGGCATAGTTTCGCTTGTGACCAATTTGAGTCAAGCAAATTCCTCACTTTCCTCCATATTGTGAATATAAACTTAAGGAAATGCATCATTGCATTATTATATTAAAGTTAAGATAATTTGCTGGTTTAGCCAAATACAGACTTGTCTGTTACTCGATTGATTTTTCCACAGAATCTCCATATATTGGAGGACTTCAGCCGTGTTGCTCACTCTTATGTTAGTATCTCCTTGGATTTTAGTTATAATGATATAGTATATATGTTGCCTGAGCGTACAGGTTTATTATACGTCCCAGCCCACGAGCAATATTGGGCTGGATGCTGATTTTTGTTTGGCATGCTGAGGTCGGGTCAAATATCTGCAAGTAAAGTTCAACACACAGCAGGGATCCACATTATGGCTCCAAACACATGAGCCACTAAAGTCCCTTTTCTGATGGAAAACTGAACAACATGAGAGGGCTACACGCTGACACTGTCCTACAGACCACGAGGAAAAAGAACAGAGTGAGACTAAACACAAGATGAGAGGTTTGATCAAAATATAACAATTTCTATCGACTATTCTAACGACTTCTATCAGGCTAAATAAAACTGTGCAGGTGACCTCACAGATACTTTAAAATGTGGATGATCGGTACTAATAATGCTCTTAAAAAACATTTGTTTCTATTCTATTTACAACTTACCTAATAAAAGATGTATGACTAGTTTAATATTCAGCTTGTTAACACTTTATAAATCATTTATAAGCTGTTATGACACATTGGATAAAAAGGGCAACAGTGACCTGTTGCTTGCCAAATAGTGAGCCCACGTGTCTCTGCTGCTGTGTAGCTGCTGCTTCATCACGTTTGTTCAGTTACTAACAATGAACCACCGTCAGCAACTTCATGGTCAGAAAGTTTCATCTGGCAGATCACATGATCATATCACATGACCAGATTCATCCTCATAATAATCACAGCTGTTGATCAGATATTACCATGGAGATGCTTTCTGCTGGTTGGTCTCTTCTTTAGGACTTTAACATCCAGGTAGAACACAGGTGGGAACCTTCCTTTACCTGGTGAACTGCTCACCCATTCTTTGTCCCACTGTTCACATCTCTGCAATTCTCCCTCCATCACCATCCATTAACTTGATGTTGCCAAATAGTGAGCCTGCATCAATGTATGAAACTTGTTTATAATTGTTTATTTATGATTTATAAAGTGTTAACAACCAAATGAATAACCTGTTTATGGACCATTTATAAATCCTGTGGTACCAAACATTTTAACATGTGTTTTCTAAACTTTGCAGGCAGACCCTGCAGGGCTTGTTGTGCTTGTTTTTAGGTTTAGTCTCAGTGGAGTCAATGTCTCAACCATTTACATACTTGAAGAGCCAGGCTGGGAGCGACACACACATCCATTCACATATTTGTACCTCCGACCCAAACCTTATTAAATGACATTTTCTGAGGTTTATGGTCAGGTTAATAAGGGCTTGTTGATCATACTTTACTAATGATGCCCTCCCAGTTGTCATGTCACAAGCATTAGACAGGATGGATGGGACAGTCCAAGGTGAGGGTGGTAATACCTCTATTATATTGTCATGTTGTATTAGAACTGCCATTTTCCTGGTTAAATAATCGTTATATTATGGATAGCTACAGGCTATCGGGTTAACATGCCATTCAATTTCATTATTACCTGTTTAACAATGGCACCAAGCTGTAAATGTTACTCATGGTGACGTGATTTGTATTTCTTCACCTGCACCTAACGTGACGTTTTAACGAAGTCAACACACGTCACACCTTCCGGCAGGTCACGAGTATAACTTCATGTTTCAGCACCGACACTTCATCCCAACATTTATCTGAGCTAACATTAGCTGCTAGCTTAGCTGGAAGTTGTCAGGTGAGGTGACGTTGGCGAGCTGAACTAGCTAGCTGCTGGAGTTCAGGAAGTGCCGACGCCAGTGACAAATAACTACATGTTACCTGTCACAAAGACTTTAATCAAGTCCCGTTGGTGTCAGGTGTTGTCCGTCTGTCATTTAAGCTTCCCCGTCAGGGTCCCACTGAAGGCGTCTCCACAAGCTGTCATCAGTAAAGTTGACTGCAGCTAGCTGAGTCCTTCCTCTCTCTGTTTATGTGCCACGTCTCTTCCGCTTCTTGTCTCTGTGTCACGAGCCAGGAGCTGCAGTCTGCCCCCTGCTGGGCCGGAGGGTATGTTCGTGGACATTCATTGTTCTAGTGGGAACATTTGACTGTCTGACATATGGTGTAGGCTTTAGAAACATGTACGGCGTAAGTCTATTTGTTTTTTCTCTTCTTCTCTTATTTAATAAAAGCACATTACTTCACACTGCACTGGAGGATGTTCTTCTTCACAGCTCCCAAACAGGTTGTACAAGACATGCACTAACTTGTTAATTAGATACATAATAAGTGACCTAAATGTTCATTTCTCATTTTGTATTGTTCAACAAAACATTGTGTCTTTCCTCCCCGCCCAAGACTGTAATCCCTCAGACATAGAAATATTTATATAATAAATTGTAATCCAACATAGAAATTAAAAACAAGTTGAAGTTGATCTGGTTTTAATTTGACTTTAAAACACATTTTTGCCTTTTTTTTTTTTTTTTACAGGATTTTCTGTGTTGATAATGTCGCCCTGAAGCCTGTCTTTTAAAACAGGTAACAGCTTTTTAAAACACTTGATCAGATGTACTTTTTTTTTAATAAGAATAAGATTTTAATAAACAAATATCTACTGATCCCACAGCAACAAAAGGAACTACAAGAATAGACATATAGTACTGACAAGGAACCTATAATTCATGAGTGTCCACTAAATGCAATAGGTAGTGTGGAGCATAAAAAAATACTCTTTGTACATGTGTCGTGCTGAATTACAGTGGAGAGGCATCAAAGTGATGAAAACGTCAAGTGTAAAACATTCACATTTTCCCTTCCGTCAAAGACAGCATGAGAGGAAGTTCAGCTCCTGGTTCAGCTGGGCTCCTGCCTTTGTGTAAGTTTGTGTCAGGCTGCAGTTTGTGTTTTCACTCAGCAGGTGGTGCGCAAACTTAGATCCAAAAGCTGCTTCCAAAAGTCCAAACAACGCTGGGTTCAATTATTCACCAAAAGCTGTCGGTGCAGACAATGTAGTTATAGATTATTGATCTTCTATCTGTATTTGTGAATATTTTAAATAGATATCAATGATTACAGGGATTAACGATCATAAGCATTTGAATTACTGCAGTGACTTCATTCAAAGTAAAAAACAGAGGAGAATGGATGTTATGAAGGAGTATTGTAGCTGTTCCTGCGCTTATAATCAGCAGATCACCGGGATGATTTGATTACAGCAAAATGTGTGTCGTCATTTGATCTAATGATGTTGTCTTAATGAGCAACGTTTGGTCTCGAGAAGAGTATGTGCCAAATGTCATAAATGTAAATGGGAGGAAGGAGACAGTAAGAGACTGTAAACGTAGGAAATGACCGTCATAAAAACCTTGGCCATCCTCGACAGACATCAACACGGTTACAATCGTTCAGAGCTGCTGCTGCTGCTTTTCAAAGTTGGGGGCTTCACAGCTTAAACGTGGCAGCCATGATAGATCCAGCCCTGCGGACAAGCATTATTTGAATGCATTGTAATGACATCAGTATGCGCGTGATGCTGCCCGCATGCATAATAATGATGCTTTTGGTTTTTGCAGTATGCATGTCTGCTTGTATGTGTAAATGGCCATGAATGTATTTGAGAAGGAGGGAACCTTCACAGTTCACTGCACATGTGAATTGCCTGTGGAGGAAAGTGATGGGAGCGAAATGAGTGAATCAGAAATGAAAAGGAAGCACCTACAGTGGAAGGAGATGTGAGGTCTTCTAAGGTCTTATAGGCACTGAAATAAAAAAGTTCTTCAATGCAATTGAGTGTAAAATCCTTCTTCAAATTTTTGCATAAAGGCATAAAATTTTCTCATTTACAAATTAATTAACTTCCTCTAATAGCTTTAATACATTTAACAAAAAAGTAGATTGTATCAGTGGAGCAATTCTCATCCACCCTTGTTACGTGAAATTTCTTTCAATAGGCAGTTTTTGAAAGAGCCACTGTGGATATACGTGGGACCATCTCACCCCCAGTGGCAAATTGTTTAATTTCATTGAAGAAAAATATGAACATGAGACTAAATGGCTTTGTGCAAATCAGCATGATGTTATAGTGTTGTCAGTTATGACCAGGGACACATAAATCACAGACAGGGGTAAGGACATGTGGAAAGGGCATTTGAAAAGCACCGGTGCGATCAGATGGAAGGGAAATCTAAAGACAAATGACAGAGGCACTGGAGGACAAACCAGCCCTGGAGCTGAGGCAGCTGGGTCTGAAACACCGACTGGAGAGGTTGTCGGGGTGGGTGGGAGCACATTGATTGATTGAGTCTGGCAACTATTGATCAGCTATCAGCTCTATCTGTGGGGGGAAAGTGTTAAGATTCAGGCATGGCTTGTTTAATGTATCGGTTCCCTGATGTGAGTGTAAAGGGATTGGACCCTAAATCAGAGGGGTGCTGAAAATACAGATAGTCTGCCGAGGCCATTGTTTACTTGATGTTGTGACATTTTGATGTGTGACACCTTTTAAACATGCATTGCATTTACACCACAGGAAAAGGAGACAGTAAGAAATCCAATCACAGGCTGGAACCTCCGACCTGTTAGTCAGTCAGTTTCATTGTGCACGAAGGATTCAGGTCTGTCACATGGGAGAGATGCTTCACGCCGCCGTACTCGAGTCCTGTCAAGCTTTGTCACAGTTTTCAGGACTTCAGAAAATATTTTCCTCCATATCATGTCATGTCTTGTCCTGACATTTGACTTTAATTTTCAAGTCTTGCATAATTGCTGATGATTCTCTTCTATCCTCTACACCTCCGTCTTGTTCGCACATGCACCATGTAGAAATCACTTTTCCTATAATTGTTGATCAAATAGTTAAAAAAGAAGATTTTTATTTTAAATCAGGCATAATATATCACTACACTGTGACATATGATTTTTCAATGAAGAGGTTTCAGTTGAATTTGTTTAATTTTACAAAAGCAAGTTGTTTCCAAAATGTTTACAGTGAAACTATTTACTGTTTCCTACTGTTACTGACAGTGGAAGAAAACCAGACTGTTGGGACCAAGCGAGTAACACCTGGACGTTTGAGAGGAAAGGTGAAATAAACTATACTCTAACCCTAAGTATTTGGGGAGGGGATGTAATCATGTTTTATGACTATGTAATTAAGGAGTAGGAAGGAGATCACTGTCAGTATCACTGTCATCCAATTTGAAGTTTTAAGAATTGGATTTGAGGTCGTGTGCATCTACTTTTTTAAATGGAGAATGTGAGATTGTTGAGTGAACACATTCATTGTAAATGAGTTGAATGATTTTTGTGTCAAAGCAATGAAAGAAAATAATTTCTTGTTTGGTTTGAGTCCTGCTGTGCAAACCGTGTGAAGCGTTTTGAGCAAGAGAAAACAACTGGCTGCTATCAGAGAGGAAAAATAGAAAATACATTTATTTGGAAGCAGTGTGTTTTTATTCTTGTTCCATAATCATCTCGAGTACCTGAAACAATGGAGCGTTCCTCTGGTGGTCCCAGTCTGCAGGATGAAAACTATGTGTTTACTCTGTCTCACAGGCAGCTTTGAAATGTATTTCTGCATTTGTTTGTATGAGAATATGTGTTTTGTTGTTCCTCTTGTACTTTTGTGTATGATAACTGAAAATGAAGTAAAATCAAATCCATGGTCATAACCACATCATCTGATTTGGAATGTAATTACACTGTGGATACTGTTACTTTATCAGGACGGTGGCTCAGAAGCAAATCCATCAGGCTTTGCTCTGAATGAAATTGGATTGACTGATTGATTCATGTATGTCAAGTGAAGGGCAAAGAGACAGACACAAAGAAACCACAGAGAGTGAGAGCAGGTCAGGGGAGGGGAGTCGCAGATATATGGATGAAGCATGGCCCCCTGATGGGGGAAGGAGAGTATTGAATCAGACAGAGACAAATGGAGTGTGAGCGACAGAGAGAAAGAAATTCAGACATATGCCTGCTGACCTCAACCCTTTTTTTTCCAACTAATCGATACAGGGAAATGCGCGTATGTGTATTTGGGTGTGTGTGCGCTTGTTTGGAGGGAGGTTGTGTCTGTGTCGCTCCCAATAATGATCAGAAACACACTGACATTACCTCAGCCCTGTCTGACTCCTCCCTGGCCGTCCAACCTTTGCACATGCCTCTATTTAATTTTGGAGCCTGTAATCTTATAACAGACTGAGAGGTCGGCAGCACTTAGACTGTCCTCGTCTCGGAGCTGAGTGAGGAAAGTGGGACATAAAACATAAAACATAACTGCTGCACAAATGACAGGTCATGCACATAATGTGCGTATAAAGTGTATTTGTGCAAATATTTTCCCTGTGTTTCATTTGGTAGGCAGGGTTGCATTCCAGCACAAAAATAATTAATAACACAATAAAAATGAGTGATTGGTTATTAGGTGCTTTTTGTCTGACTGCCAGACTCTCTCCCCCACTCACTCGCTTACAAGCACACACAGACACACACTGGCTGAGAGAGAAAAGACTCCAGTATTTTCTAAGGAATAATTTCTTTGACGGATGCCTGCTATATACTGTGTATTACTCTGAGCAGCGCGTTGTCACAGCTGAGAATTATAATCAGCTAAAATGTGTTTTATTCCACCCAGGATTCGCCCCCTATCAGCCTTATTATTGGTTCCTCCTGCCGTTTAAAATGGAAAAAATTTCCACACATCTTCAGCCAATTAGGAAGAAGCTTCGGCATGACATTATTCAAATCCAAAGTGCATAACGACGAGATTGACCCAACGTTCAATTATCCAGAGTTTTTGAAATGACAGACACAAAGTGAAGTTTTCCAGCTCTGCAGGTAAAAAAAAGAAAAGTGTGTCCGTGTCCTTTCTGTGAGATCAAGACAGGGGCACAACAACAGACGAAGCAGAACCCGGCCTTTACAGTGGAGATTCACCCGTGAAGGCAGAGAGCATGCAGGTAAGGATTAAATACTTTGGCTCATAGAG